GCTGCTGGGGCTCAGGGCTCTTGGATTCCAGTCGCAGCGCTGCGACTCTCTCTGGGTGACCCTAGGCAAGGGGGTTGGGGGATGCACCAGGCAATGCGCTGCATTGTCTTGAAGCACATAAAGATCGTCGCTTTTATTTTTTCTGGAGCTCCTAGGATTCGGGGAATAGTGGTTATTTGGGTGGGTGTTTTGCAGTTACTCCTCGCTTTCTGAAATAAGATAGCGGCGCGGTGTAATGGAAAGAACCGAGATTGGGGAATGAGGAGATTGGGTTCTGGCTCTGACACTTGCGTTGCAGCCTCGGGTGACTTCCCGTCCTCGCGTGGGTGTAGGTTTCCCAGCCTGTGCAGTGATGGAGCTGAATCCCTAAGGGCTTCTTCTGCTCTGACATCCTCTGCATATCTAGGTCTGTTTTCTAATTAGGTTTTTCTCCCCAGTGTTCATGATTAGTATCTGTCTTGCAACAAGACTTAATCCAGTTGTCCAGGAAGCAGTTTCCCTCCTTAATTTATTTATTTCTAGGTTGCCATGAAACCCTTCTCCTCTTTCTTCCTATCTCTGTATTCTGGCCAAGTTAAATGATGACAGCAGAAAATGATTTTTGACTGTCTTTTTTTCTTTAAATATAATCAAGGCCCTCTTTCACTCTTGTCGAGAGACTAGTCGACAGTAATCACTTTGCACATTTAGAGCACATTTTCTTTCTTCTTCTTTTTTTAAATCCTCGCCCGAGGATATTTTTATCAATTTGAGAGGGAGAGAGAGAAACATTGATTCGAGAGAGAAACACCAGTCAGTTGCCTCCTGTACTCACCCTGACTGGGGATCAAATCCGAAACCTAGGTATGGGCCCTGATTAGGAAATCGAACCCGAAACCTTTTGGTGTAGGGGATGACACTCCAACCAACTGACCCACCTGGCCAGGGCTAGAGCACATTTTCTTTAAAGATGTTCTTGAAGTCAAGAAGTAAGTGGACACAGCCCAGCTGGGCGTGGCTCAGCAGCTGAGCATCGGCCTAGGATCCAGGAGATCGAGGTTCGATTCCCAGCTAGGGTACATGCTGGGGTTGCGGACAGGGTTGCGGTCTCCATCCCCAAGCGGGGGCATGTAGGAGGCAGCCGATCAATGATGTTTCAACTCTTCTCTCCCTCTCCTTTCCTCTCTGTGAAATCAATAAAGATGTGTTGTTTTTTTAAAAAAAGTAAGGGGACACAAAAGGTTTGGTCATTTGCTTTGTGTCTGAGACTGATTGTATGGCTTGAAGGCTGTATGCAGCAGAGGCTGCTCTGATGATGATATTAAGTTTCTCTCCTTTTGTTTTCTGATTGTGCCATTTATAATCTCCTGCTCTTGGGTTATTTTCCCTTGACCGTTCATTCGGCCTCATTCTTGTGGTAGCTTGAAGTGCTCAGAGCTGTCCTTGTCTACTTTAAAGGCAGTATAAGGAGGCAGATTCCATTTCTTTTGCAATAGTCCAGAGATTACAACTAGGACCAGTGGATGGAAGTGCCATAAAGGAAGTGGTTTTTTGGGTCAGCATAAGAACTTTCAAAGAATTAATGCTTTCTCACATTGCAACACAGAGCTTGGGAGTCCCTGTCACTGGAGCTAACTGTCACTGGGCAATTACTTTTGGGGACGTTGTAGATTAGATTATAGTGTTGGGTGGAGGGTTGGACTAGGTAAAGTTTTCAGTTTTCTTCCAATTCAGAGGTTCTGTGCCATTCTAGGACTGGACTTGTTAGCACGTGGGGTATGAAGTAGAATAGATAGATGTCCACTTTGGGGAATACTTTATTTTTCTCCTTGCTTCAGATAACTATTCTCACATTAATTACTCCTGCTTTTTCTTTTTCTTTTCAACCCCTCACTTTCCCTTCCAATGAGTATCTCTTCTTTAAATGCTTATGTCTTCAAGGATCAGATGCTGAAGATGAAGAGTCATTGCTGTTAATAATACATTTCCTCTTCCCACCTTGACCTGAAGCAAGATCCTAGAACTGGGTCGAGTGAATAGACTTTGGTGTCTACTTTTGCTAGCACGGTCCTGATAATACCTTCCAGAAGTAGGTGACTGACTTACTACTAACACCTAGCTTTTCTCTTTTTCTCATGGAGGAAACTCGTATTGAATCTGTTTACCTCAGTCCAGGCCTTAGAGGAACCCTGAACCTCCCTCTGGCCAGGCCTTACTGGCTGGGTCTGAGCACACAAATCTAGCCTCTGTTTGATGGGTGTGGGATCTAGCGGATGGGACATTCTGAATAGGACAAAATAGAAACCACAATGTTGCATTTGGTACTGTCTCTTCTTTTATCTCCCAAACATTTCTCTTGGAAGACATGACACCCAGGGCCAGTTCTCAATGACCCTCTTTAGTAGGAAGGACTCCTCTGTGCTTCCCTTTTCCATGAAACTCAAGAATCTGTCAGCCTGGGTTACTGGAATGCTCATGGCACATAGGTCACCCTTTTCCTGTTGGGGACCTTGTTTGCCACTCCAGAGTGATGGGATGGAGGAAGTTCTGCAGCAAATAATTTATATAGTGAACTTTCTGACTTCCTGTCCTTGAACTTCTCTGCAGTAATAATTACAATTGCTACCATTAATGAGGGTCCATTATGGACCAAACAACATATTTAACATCTTTCCCTTCTATCTTCATAACAGTACTGTGATGTAGGTATTAACATTTTTCAGATGAGGAAACTGAGGCAAAGGGAGATTAATTTGTTCAAGGTCACCTAACTAAGCTCTGAAGTCATGTGCTTTTTATTAAGTAGAAATCCCTCTGCAGACCTAATCCTGTTCCAGTTTTGTTCTGAGGGAAATTTTAGGGACAGTGGATCATTTATGGTATGGTAAAAAAACACTGGACTGGGAATCAAGTATGTGGGTTCTAATCCCAAATCTTTAACCAGCTGGGGCTTTGGTTTTCTCACCTCTGAATGGGAAGCTGGAGCTCAATCTTCTATAAGTCACACCTGGTCCTAACACTTAGTGATTTTAATGAATGTGGGTAAAAAATAAGTGTGTTCGTCTATTCAGTTCCTTCTATACAGAGCCTGCTGAGGTCAGCAGCTGTTTTGTGGTTGCCCTCACACCACACTCTTTCAGGCAGGAGTCTCAATTTATGGAGTGTACTTCTGTGTTAGGTTAGATGGAGTCCTATCTGATGCTCTTTAAAAACAAATCATGTGGCAGTCAGAAATTTTCACTTTTCTCCCTGTAGACTACACATAGCAGCACAGTGTGTGTCCTTGTCCAAGTCTTTGAATTCCAGCAACAGAGAAGAGAAAATGCATCTGGAGAATGTGCCACTTCTCTGAGTTCCAAAGTCCAACCCAGTGTAATTGTTTGAGAATAATGGGTGGTACTTTTCACCTGTGTATATTACCACCCATGAACTCTGGTAGGAGGTGTGGCCTGAGGTGTATCCATCATAATGAGACATAGGTGTTTTTAGTGCTTTATATAAGTCTACCTATAACCAGGATCGTCTGGCTAGTTAAAAATAAAATGCTCAGGTTGAGTCAGATTGGGTCCAGAAATCTGTTTGGGTTTTTTTTAGCATCTTTATTGAGATATAATTCACATAGCATATAGTTCAGCCATTTAAAGTGTACAATTCAGTGGCTTTTAGTATATTCACAGAGTTGTGTAACCATCACAACAATTTTAGAACATTTTTATCACCCCAAAAGAAACTGTCTTCTTAGCCATCACCTCCCAACTCCCTACTCCAAACTCTGGGCAACTACTAATCTACTTTCTGTCTATAGGGTTCCGTATCCTGGACTTTCATATAAACAAAATCATACAATATGGTCCTATGTGGTTGACTTCTTTCAGTTAGAATAATCTCTTCAAGGTTCATTCATGTTGTAGCATGTGTCAGTATTTCACTTCTCTTTATTGTTGAATAATATTCCATTGTACAGATACACCATATTTCATTT